CGGGCAGCAGCCAGATTGCTCACTGGAGCGACATACAGGGAGCATACATCCCCCCCACCCCCCCCCCCCCACCCCCGGTTAAGTCAGCTCCACTGGCTGCTAGTCTGTTACTGGGCACAATTCAAAGTGCTGGCTTCAGCCTATAAAGCACTAAATGATTCTGGCTTAACTTAGTGATCTAAACACATCTCTCCCTATGAACCTGTTAGGAGCATTAAGATCTTCTGGGGAGGCCCTGTTCTCAGTCCCACCTCTGTCGCAGGCGTGATTGGTGGACATGAGAGACAAGGGTGTTCTCAGTGGTGACCCCTCAGTTATGAAACTCCCTAGCCAATGAGATCAGACTGCCCCCCCCCCTCCTGGCCTTTAGAAAAAGGGTAAAATTTGGTTATTCAACAAGGCACTTGAGTAGTGCAATATGGATCCGGCATAATGTAGCAACATAAAGGATTTCCAGTAATTTCCTTTTCTGCTTGCCCTGTGCTCTCTGGCTTAAATAAAAACAAAAAAGACTTGGAAAAAGTTCCTTTTTATTATTACACTTTCTGTGTTCCTTGTCTTTGCTGGCTATGGAAACCATAGGAGTTGAGATCTAAAAAGGAACTTTTCTAAGTTCATCTCAAGATATCATGAGCAATTATACTTGACGTTTAATAAAAACCATCCTTTGCCCTTTTTTCCCAGGTGATCTTTTCCATGAAAGGACAGAGTCCTCCTTCCATTTGGAGGAGCACAATGCTTGATTTTCAATTTTACATGGCCATGTGGATAAAGAATGGGGGAGACGTCTAATATTATGGAATCAAATTGGACCAGCCAGGAATAATAACTTTTGAAGAGATTTTCAAGCAAAACAATATGAGAAGTACAGAGAAAAAATGGAATATCAATAATGTCATATTTTCAGTTCACATGAAAATAGTTATAATGGTTAGGTTTTCTTTCCCAGCACTCATTTCACTGCTCCACTCACGTCCCTTCACCACATCCCTTCTCTTATGTTTCTTCCAAAAAATCATTTAAAAAAAAGAAAAAGAAAGAAAAGAATGGCTAATATTTAACTTGTGTCAATCTGTCAGTAATTTTCTACAGAACATGACCTGTGAAAGAAGTCATTATAAGTGTTTCATTCCATTAAACACAACTAGTTTACTGTCAGGAGAACAACCTGTCTCTCCATGTTTCAAGTTCATTTCAGCATTCCACATTTAAATGACATGGATCAGTGGTTTGGTTCATTTACCAATGAAGGCAGAATATTGCAAAGTTAACAAGGTGTTTCATTAGGTTTCTTGAAATCCTAGCATCAAGCTATGAAGGATCTATACCATACTATAAAGGCATGTTCTTAGAGTAGAACCGCAGAATTAGAATTCCTTTAAATCAGTCCTCAATTACTTTCCCCTGTGTATGTATTAATGTACAAAAGGTTGTACACTTCAATTCACGCGTCTGATTATTTACTGATGTCATTTGCAACCCACCTTTCTATATTAAAAATATACCCAAGGCAGCAAAACCCTTGAGCAATCCCAGGTTGCCCATATAAATGAATGTGATTGGTTTGTTGACACAGACTTTAAAAGGTGATGAAAATGGCTAGAATTTTGCACTCTAAAATAAAAATGTGGTGAAAACAGCCATCTACTGATGAGAAGCCATCCTGCCTTCTCAAGAAATGTAAAGTTGTGAAATTATTTTGTTTTTCATTATTTTCTGAGGCTGAAACCCAAGTATATCAAAATACATTTCTGAGCTACCACCTAACATGACTGTATTTATTTGCTGCAATTTACTGCTTCTGCTAGTGAGGTTTAATAGAAATATTTTAGGGTAAACCTACCAGTTCAGAAACAAAATTACACATTCTGGATCAAAAGATGGAGCCCTTCTGTTTAAAACAATGAGAAGGGACCTTTTCAAAAAATGCATACAATCAAACTAAAAGCCAAGTTCACATTTTTATGACTTATATGGAAAAACTTCAGGCTGTCTTTTTAAAATCCTGACCTTTTGCAATTTATTTCTTACAAAGAATATTTAGATAACGGTAGTTTTATTAGGTAATGAAAACTAATTGGGAAATTATTCATCTTCCAGTCTCCCCACTGGAGCGTAAAAGACATACAACAAATGTTATTCATGATTCTACACAAACCACTCTGTCTGATTCATCCCCTTCTTTCTAAGGGGCACTTCAGAGGAAATAAAGGTTACTCTTTCCCATTTATATTTTTTAATTGACTGCTGGTATTTTCTTGTGGTCAGAAGGATAGGAAAGAGTGCTCAAAATAGCCTATTAAGAAAAACAAGTTACAATCAGACCTCCCTCTACAGTACTGTCAGCAATGATCAGAGTGGCCCTATTTCCTTGTTAAAAGACAGAAGCATAAATGAAGGAATATCTTCACTACAGATTGATTATTCGGCAACCCTTATCCACATCTTCACTCGGCAATTTGAATTTTAATGAAAGTAAATGGAATAATTAGCATTTCAAAGCAGGTTTGATACACTGGGTTCTTCTTTTTAAGGGAGACTTTTATGTATATCCTGTACACAAAAGGAAAATGAGACTGCGAGTGGGCAGAAAAAGGGAAGGCACAGTGGTTTGGTTTCCATTAGAATAACTTAAACAACTGCTTGCATTAACTGAATAATTACAGATGTGAATCACGAGCTATTAGCGATTTCTCTCACCTTTGTTTTATATGCCTCTTTTGAACAACCAACTGTATTTATCAATCTTGAGAAGTGAGTCATATTATATCGATAGATAGATAGATAGATAGATAGAACTAGTGGATTAATTTAGAGAGGCCGTTTCATGGTGCTACTATGTATCTTAAGTATTGCTTCTATCATCCAATAGGAAGAAGGTAGACTTTTTTTTATAATAAGACATAAAATAATAAGATTGTTTAGCATAAAACTAAACAATCTTATCTCAGCAGATGCCAGAGCTGAAGGAATCGACTAGTTCTTAAAACAACTAAAATGTGATGATACATGAACAGTATGAGCCCTGATGCCAGAAGCCTCATTCTTTGGAAATATTTATTTGGGAGTATGATTTGGGGAGCCCCCGGTGGTGCAGTGGGTTAAATCACTGAGTTGCTGAACTTGTTGACCAAAAAGTCACAGGTTCGAATCCAGAGAGCGGTGTGAGCTTCTGCTGTCAACCCCAGCTTCTGCCAACCTAGCAGTTCGAAAACATGCAAATGTGAGTAGATCAATAGGTACCACTCCGGTGGGAAGGTAATGGTGTCCATGCAGTCATGCTGGCCACATGACCTTGGAGGTGTCTACCAGCTATTGGTTTAGAAATTGAAATTAGCACCAACCCCCAGAGTCGTATACGACTGGACTTAATGTCAGGGGAAAACCTTTACCTATGATTTGGCGATATGACTGAAACATCTCATGGACTCAAAATGGTAAGTTCAGGCAGTCTTTAAGAAAAGTCCTTTGTTCAACTGGAAAGTTTTAAACCCACTTCTAACACACTAAGTACGGCTGTAGAAAGGTTGTCCAAGATGTTGGAAGAGCTTTGAGGGATACCGTTCATGTAGGAACCTTTGGATCCTAGCAGTTGAGTGCCAAATACAACAAATCCCAAAAGGTGTGACAGGGTAAACCATAAAGAGCAGACGATCAAAGCAGCAAACATAAAGGTAAAATACAATTTGTCCACTCATGGATCCAAATCCAACATTGTGCTTTTGTGGTTCATATAACAGAATGTGCCAGTATCGCTGTAATCATTTCCACTGCCGGAATATCAGCTAGGGAGTGTTGCAGCCCCTGCAAAACAGATTTCATGGGAGGCTGCAGTAGAAAGGAAAATCCTCTTCTATCACTGGAGTCTAGTGTTCTTTCAGTGGAAGTCCAATATTGGAACTTGCCCCACAGTTGACTTAAAATCCTCAAACTCCACAAAGTGCTGTCTGTGGCAAGCCAGGTCAGAACAACCCACTGGAGGCCTAAACGCCTAAGGTCATTGCTCTATGGGACATCCCAAGGACATCAAATCTTTGCTTCTAAAGTCCACATTCCAGGGTCACTACAGATAATATTTAAATAGACACAAGGCAGGAAGGACAAAATATGCAACAAATTGACCTCATGCATTCAGGCACAAATGATGTACAATTTACTGACCATTTGGAGGGGTAATTTGCCTTAAATGCACCTCAGAGTTTGGCACAAAGGTTATATTTAGCCCCTTTCTTCACTCAGAGAAAGCACATTCAATTGTAAGCAATGCATGCATGCAGGAAATTATCAAATCTGAGAGCCAACATGTGTGGATCAATTTGTTCCTGTTGACTGTTGTTTTCAGGACCTATTTTGTTGTTTTGTTATATTTTAAAAATGAACTGTTCACTCATTCCTGAGGGCATCAGCTTGAGAGGCTTAACATTTTGAAAAATCATGGAAATGCCAAACATAGGGCTTCCAAAAGTAATGTCTGCAAATTTTACTTCAATATGCACAAATCCCACTTGGTCTTCTGTTACAACAGTTTCCATATTCACAAAACATCCCTGATATCTTAGTTCACATTGCTCATGAGGGTGAATAATCTCTGGTATGGAAGCAGCTGAATGTAATCTCTCTCTCTAAAACCTTAGATATATGTTTAGAAAAGCTCCCTCAAGGATGAGTTTCATCTTCTGTCCAATTAAGAGCTATTTTCTGAGCTTATACTCATTTTGAAGAATGTGAAGTGGGAAATGGTCAATGGCCATCATGTGTTGTGTGTTGTTGCTGAAAATGTTTATTCTATATTCCAGGCAAGAGACCACAGCAAAATATAACATGACCAATCAACTCTGCCCAGTTGATTCTAACTGCCAGGTACTTTGGCATGTAATGTATTTCTAACCAGCCAAGAGCACTAAACTTAACAACAACAAAAGTTTGGGGGGGAGGAATAAATAAATTGAATTCTATTTTTTAAAAAAGACTATGAAAGCTAAAATGGAAAGACCACATACCCCAATGATTGCGTTCAGTTCTGCCATGGTCACTTGCTTGGCACGTTCCACAGCCTGCACCACTTGTTGCTGGTGCTATAAATAAAGATCAGAAACAGAGTAAAATTATTTGCTTTCTAGTGAATCAAGCATATAATTTCCTATCTATGTTTTTTATAATGTTTTTTCTAAACATAATCTAAAGAAAACTTAACACCCTCCCCAGATTACACGCAGGCTTGAAAGAATATGTGCCTTTAAAAGAGCAAGGATTCATAAAAGACACCTCAGATTGAGGGTGAATTTTATCCAAACCATAGTTAACTGGACTACAAGTTTCATTTTCTCTTCCTAGAGACAAGGAAGAAAACAGCAGTGGCATATCTTTTATTTAAGAGGACGGTACTGTGCTGAACCAGAAGAGCTATTCTCCAGCCTTAAATGAACAGATTGTTGTGAACAAAATTATGCACTTGGAAAAACAAGGTGTGCATTTGGGCACTCACCCACCACCACGCTGTTTCCTCATCAAAAAAGCAAAGGTTAGTTTCCATCTCTATGATCTGTGGATTTGACTATTTTCAGATCCCTAAATCTGCTCCATCTCTGAATTTTTCTAAACCAATACAGGGGCTAATCCTCTGTTGGAAGCAAGGAAATGCAAGGAAAACAGAGAAATGGAAGAGCAAGAGAGTGTGGCTTCAAGATCCTTGGCCCTTTGTCTGGATCTAAACAAGCCTAAGAAAATCTTGCTATAATTCAGGATTAGTACAATGTTGGATACAGAAGACAAACATTGGCACATTTTAAAGACGTTCAGCTGTAGGAAGACATATGTAGAATCTTTGTTCATCTTTCAATCAAAATGGGAAAGAGTTTATTTTGTGTGCCAACGCTATGAAGGATAAACCTTTCATCCTAAATATGCTTAACTGTATATTGACATGAAGGGATCAACATTGAGAGTTTTAGCTTAAGGTGGATTTATCTGCACTGTACACTACACTGCTTAAATTGTCATGGTTCATCCCCCCAGTCCTATGTTTCCAGACATTATAGTGAGGGCAATAAGACCACTTTTGGGGGGTGGGGAAATGAGTGAAGTGTCACATTAATCAAGACTTTGAAGGACCCTTGCTTGGAAACTATGACAGTTAAATGAAATTTGTTCCAAAGTGATAGGGACAACATATTAGGAAGATGAAATGGTGGTCATTGACTACTGGTGCAATGACTACTGGAACAGCCTTGGATTACGATTTTGGATGGCATGATTTTAATAATGGATGTAATGTTTTAATGTGTATTAATTTTAATTTAAATGTTTATTTTAACTGTAAGTTGTTTTATGGCATTGAATCGTTGCCTATGTGTAAAGCCACCTTGAGTCCCCTTTGGGGTTGAGAAGGGTGGAGTACAAATATGGTAAATAAATAAATAAACAACAACCATAAAACTGGTTCAATGGGCTAATATTTCACTCTATTGTTATGCAAATAATACATAAAATAAAACCTAAGGTTTCTGAAGGCTTCTGAGATGGAAACATCACAAAGATTTCTAATTCAGGACAATACGATTCTCAGAGCTGGCTGGATCTTACTTCAAGGAATGGTGGAGTATAGGGTATTACAACTGATTGGTACAAAAAACATAGTTTTCCTTAAACTATAATACTAGAGAATATCAACTGTGTTCTATCATTCCCCCCTCTCCTGCCAAAAAAATTAATGTTTAAAAATACAATGCAGAAGGCTGCCACATTGTATTTTAGCAAGAAAAAGAATCTAATCAATTCAAGGAATTCTTATTAAGCAACACAAAAGAAGAGATGGGGTTCAGCAGAAGGGAGAACCATATGGGCTATAAAATGCAGCTACATCATAACTCCAAAAATTTAACACAAGGAGTAGGCAAGGGCAGGATATAGGTCACTCCTCACATCTATGCTGTTGAAAAACCTAGATAGGATTCTTTTATTTGTTGTACTTATTGCATTGCATTCCCAGGCACTCCACATTTCTGTGTCTTCCCTTCTCAAGCCAAGAGGCAT